TGTGTGTGTGTGTGTGTGTGTGTGTGTGTGTGTGTGTGTGTGTGTGTGTGTGTGTGTGTGTGTGTGTGTGTGTGTGTGGTGTGTCTCCATGGAGAAATCAGGCATAAGCCTGAAAAATAGACTGATTTGGACAAGGTAAGAGGATGGATGGAAGGCCCACCAGCAGAGGAACAGTTAAAGCAAAAATATGGAGATAGGAAGGAAAGTCATCTGGGGTCAGGTGTGACCAAAAGTCTTTGGATCCCTTTGTGGGCTGAGCTACTGTCACACACAAAGCCTAGCTCACAAAGCAGGGACTCAACTCATGAAAGGGCCACAAGACCCCTCTACTCTTGCTATCAGGAGCTCAGGGCAGAACCCATTTGCTTTAGGAAGCCCAGGTCCCCAACTGCACACAGGCTGTGCTCCTTCCCACCAGCCAGGCTGAGGATTCCTGTTCTGTCCACCTCTCCCCCCCAGAGTCCTCCCCAGGAACACAAGAGGGGCTTCAGGCCACAGGGACTTTGCTGGTCCCTTGTTGCTGCCAGTTTCCCCACCTCTGACTCTGGACCCTGGATAGGCCTGTGGCACTTCTGCTCCCTTTAGAAGCTTCCTTAAGATGCTGGTTGAAGTAAGTTGAGGTGGATGATGGGGAGAGTCTATGATTTCACTTTTCCTGATTCCCCGTTGCCCCAGCTAAATAGTAAAAATTAAGAGGTGAATGGATGTCTTAGAGGGGAATAGCTCTGCCATTAAAACCTTGCACTGGGCAGGCAAACCTGTATGCTCCTGGAAATGACCAAAACTTGGGTCCTCATAGTAACCAGAATAATTTTGGCATTTCCGTGTGTGCAGATGACTTTGAGTCTAAATTCACGTTCCATTCTATGGAAGATTTTCCTCCTCCGGATGAGTATAAACCATGCCAGAAGATTTACCCCAGCAAGATCCCCAGAAGTAAGTACCACCTTGATAAGACTCCTGGTTTTCCCTGACCCTCCAGAATTAGGTGCTTGGGTGCACTGACTGGCCACAGGCTGTGTAAAGTGTGACATCAGGATCTCACTGTACTATTGCAGGGATGCAGTGATGTTCATACTTCTGGAAGTTTCTGAACATTTATTTGCCCTAATATCTAAGGGTTCATTTAGAGGTTTTTTACAGAACACCAAGTTTAGTTATTTGGCATCGGATTTGGATGCCTAAATTTACCACTGGTCCCTCCCCTCCCTGGGGCTTTTGACTGGGGAGCTAAACACCCCAAGACAACAACAAAATGGGATTCAGGAGCTTTGCATTAATAGTTGGGGAAGAACCCCAAAACCCCCAATTCAAAACTCTGGCAGACTCTGAAATAGAGAATGCCTTAGGTCAATGGTTCCTACCTTGGCAGTACATTAGAATGACCTAGACAGCTTTTAAAGGCCAGGCTGCACCTAGCGCAGGTAAGTCAGAATATCCAGGGTAGGACACAGATGTCAGTATTTTTGAAAATTGCCACGTGATTCCAATGTCCATCTAAGGCTGAAAACCTCAGTCCAGTGAGAGCCTTCCTCCTCCCGATCTCATTGTGCGGCCAGGCCCCAAGAGAGGCCTTCACTTGGCTTACCTGCCCAGCCCTAAGAATCAAGGAGGGCTGGCCGGCCTGCCCTTCATGGCCCAACGGGCAGGGAGGCAGCACTTCAGGAGCACAGGAAGCAAAGGAAAGCACAGTAGGTGTTGACCACACAGTGATGCTGCCTGTTAACGTAATTCTTGTCCAGTGCTGATCCAATCCAAGTGGGCAGGAGCTGGTAAGAGGGAGGCAGAGCCAGCAACATGGGGTGAGGGTCCAATGTGTTTTCCACCCCACAACCCGAGTAAGGCCCCCAGCCCCAGACATCTGCAGACCAGCATGGAAAATCATCAGTATCCAAGCTTAGCCCCAGACCGGGAACCTGGCTCTTTGTCTCCTTGCAAAGGGGCCTTGGTGAAGTCCCTTCCCCAGGGTTCAGCTTCCTGCAGGGCAGACCAAGGAGCACCAGCCTGCTCTCTGCTCAGGTGAGAGGTCCTCTCGGGATCAGCGTGGGCAGAGCTTTCTCTGCGTGCCGGTGGATTGCACATTTAGAGAGAAGTGACTTGTATGTTTTTGTTTTGTTTTGTTTTGTTTATTTGCGGTACACGGGCCTCTCACTGTTGTGGCCTCTCCCGTTGCGGAGCACAGGCTCTGGACATGCAGGCTCAGCGGCCATGGCTCACGGGCCCAGCCGCTCCGCTGCATGTGGGATCTTCCCGGACCCGGGCATGAACCCGTGTCCCCTGCATCGGCAGGCAAAGTCTCAACCACTGCGCCACCAGGGAAGCCCACTTGTATGTTTTTTAATAATATGTAAATACAGTTGACCCTTGAAAAATGCAGGACTTCATATGCATTGCTGGCCCTCCACATCCTTGGATGCGGAGGATTCAACCAACCATAGACTGTCGTACTGTAGTTTTACTACTGAAAAACATCCTCGTATAAGTGGACCCATGCCGTTCAAACCCATGTTGTTTCAGGGTCAACGGTACTCCTTCTCTGAATTGAGAGAGACAGAGAAAGAGAGAGGAGCAGAATAAAGATTGACGAAGGGAAATCACCCCACCTGGGGTTTAAATAGACCGTGGAGACGTGATGGTGGAGGAGACGGGTGCTGGGTCAGGCTCCCATTCTTGCTCAGTTCGAGCTCAGCAGATGGGCATGAACTGCCCACTGTACACTTGGCACCATGCTGGCACCAGAGACTACGAGGTGTAAGCAACAAAGTCCCTACCATCAAGCCGCCAGCGTGCACACTCCCGAGATAGAAGTGTGAGACATTAACTAGATCACAGTGGAGTGTCTTAATCACTGATTGTTTAAAGTTCAGAGGGCACCACAGTGGGCATGAGGGTGGAGGTGGAGATTGGGGACTTGAAGGCGTAGAGAGAGGTAACATTTCCACTGGGTGGAAAGGCATTCCAGGCTGAGCACGGCACACCCCCAGGAGAGAGGCATGATAGTGTTTGGGCCATTTAAGAATGACAAGCAAGTCCTACGTGGTATGTAAGGGCACACGGTGCCTGGAGAGGACCGCAGCGGCTGCCAGAGATGTTAGGCTTCGTGGGGCAGAGGGTCAATAAATAACACTTCTTTTACCGTCATATGAAATGTTCACAGGTCAGACAGATGAAGATCTAAGTGTTTTTATTGGAAGAGCTTAGGTAACAGCAAACTCTAATACTGCACCCCAGAAAGAGGCTTGCTGACTCCCCTAGGCCAGGGGATTTACAGGTGAGGGGACTGAGGCTGGCCTCCCCCTGCAGCCACAGAGCAGCCTCACAGAGCTTTCCACATGGCCAGGAGGGCAGGACGGAATAGTCCTTAATACACAGGCAGCCAGATTTCAAAGAGGGAACCTAGAAGGGGCCAGGCTGCACATGGCTAGTTCCCTCTGTTCAACTCACCAGAAAAAGAGGGCAGAGAGAGCCTAGGCGTGTTACCTACCCTACAGGAGGTGCCCACACACGAAAAGGACAAGGAGATGTGTTCCCTCCTAATGTGAAGGATGTTTTATCCCTTCTAAGGGATATAAGCAGAACCTATAAGCAAAGAACTGTCAGTGAAATACTAACCACCGCCAATACAGTAAGTGATCCTGTCGTAGACCTGCTCAGATGTGCCTGGCATGGTTCTAGGTGCTTTGCAGACCTTATCATAAGTCATTAATGTAGAAAGTTTTCACGTAGGGGGAAGGAGGTCCAGACAGGCCAAGTGACTTGCCTAAGGCCTCACAGCAAATTAGAGGCAGAGCCAGGAATTTCAGACCCAGGGGTGTCTGAGCCATGCAGCCATGGTGAACTCTGAGAAGGGTTGTGATTAGGTCTAGGTTGAGTCTGATCACTGGTGGTTTGATCAGAGGAGGTAGAGACCAAGGTCAGGATACCTGCTGCTTTGAGAAGGGTCCATGTGAGGGAGGATGGATGGGGGTGAGGGTTGCCAGGGCTTGGGGATGCAGGCCATGAGAGGAACAAGAGAAGTGGAGGAGGAGCTAAGGGCCTCTGAGCACCAACCTGGGGCTGGATGGATGGTGTGGCACCAAGAAGGAGCTGGAGAGGCGTGGGTTTCAGGAGGAGACGAAGTGATGGATCAGGGCGAGTGGAGGTGCCTGGAGGGCTGCAAGGGGGAGATGACCCGGGGCAGGTGGAACAGGGAGTACACAGGTCTGAGGCTGAGGGGTGAGGTCAGGAATGGGAATTAGCTCTGCGGGTCATTAGTTTGGAGCCCTACCCTAAACCAGGGCTCAGCAAACATTTTCTTTAAAGGGCCAGAGAGGACATACTGAGGTTCTGCCTGCCATCTGGCCTCTGTCACCACTACTCAGCTCTGCTGTTTTGACATGAAAGCAGCCACAGACAACGCGTAAAGAAATGGGCATGGCTGTCTTCCAGTAAAACTTTATTTGTGAAAGCAGCTGCTGGCTGAATTTGGTCTGCTGGCTGTACTTTGCTGATCTCTGCCCTCAGCCACTTCAGAAAAACAGTCTTAAAAATCTCTTTGTTATACAGCCTTTCTCAGTAATGTGCTGTGGAGTCCTTCAGTCTTCAGACTCAGTAAATTCTAACTTACCTGCATTTGGAGCCCGTGGTGCCTAGCCTCATCTCTGAGAACAGAAGAAAAGCTTCACCCCATACAGCTCACCAGGAGGGCAGAGGTGGCAGTCTGTGCTGTGTTCCTCTCCTTTCAGAGAAATGTTCAAATCAGTGCCCACACCAAACTAAATAATCTTCTGAGGATCAAGAAGGAGCAGTTAAAAAAAAACAAAAACGCAACATACTAGTGAATTGACATCCTACAGACCAGAAAGGGCATTTGCCATTTCAAAAAGAATATATAGTTTTAGATTGATGTGGCATTGGTGGACATAAATACTTCAGTAGCCTCCTAGCACAGTTTAATGAGCATGTTCCTGCCGTTCCTGTGAGCCGTGGGGGAGAACCTTGTTAATTATGTGGGTGTAGGTCATGCCTATCTGATGACATTTCTTCTTACAGTTTTTCTCTTGCATTCTGCCATTGACCTGTAACCCAAGATTAGGGTTCTTCACGGTGTGGGAGACTGCGTTGGTTCCGTCAGATGAGGGTGTCTCTGTGCTCTTTTGTAGCAGTTCTGGAGCTCTGTCTCCGCCCGCTTGCCTGCTCTCTCTCTGTCCTTCCGAGACACACACACACACACACACACACACACACACACACACACACACACGGCACACACACACACACACATACACACACACACGGCACACAAATACCCTAAGGCTTAGCTCTTCCGGTGCCATCCTCCCTGTCTCCACTCTGCAAGTATGAGCCATGTTCTTTCTTTGGTAGATGATTTTGTCCAATTTTTAAGTGTTTTTAAAATGCATGGGTTCCTCAATAAGTTAAACAGAATTACCGTATGACCTAGCAATTCGACTCCTGGGTGTATACCCCAAAGAATTGAAAACAGGTGTTCAAACAAGAGTTCATAGACAAATATTCACAGCAGCACTATTCACAGTAGCCAAAAGGTGACAACCCAAATGCCCATCAACTAGTAAATGGATAAACAAAATGTGGTGTAGTCATGCAATGGAATATTATTGGACAGTAAGAAGGAATGAAGCCGTGGTATGTGCTACAACATGGATGAACCTTGAAAACATTATACTAAGCAAAAGAAGCCAGACATAAAGGCCACATAAGATTCCATTGATATGAAATATCTAAAATAGGCAAATTCAAAGACACAGAAAGTGAATTTAGCAGTTGCCAAGGGCAGGGGGCTATGGAGAATGGGGAGTGACTGCTAATGAGTATGGGTTTCCTCTTGGGCTGATGAAAATGTTCTGCAACTAGATAGTGGTGATGGTTACACAACAACGGGAATGTATGAAGTGTCATTAATGGTAAATTTTATA